AAAAATTGTTCATTAGGTAATGCATGCATTTCTGTGTGGTTTGCTCATAAGGTTTGTGTTTTTATCATTGAACTACATTAAACATTGAAATAGGTGTGTATATTGAAAAGTAATAGATTGGTAAGTGTGAAAAGGGATGGGTCATATTAAAAAGTGAACCAAGCAGTATCTTCCTTTTGCTAATATATGAATACTGCAGTATATGGACTGATGATCTAATTCGTTAACATGTAATTTCCTATATTCCATTTGGGGAAAATCCCTCTGAAGATGCAGCTACTAGTGTTAGAGATTAAGAAATACAATAAGGTGTTTGGATTTGGGTGTACGAGGATACCAGTGCTTCCTTCCAACTTTGGAATCCATGAAATAATATGAAATATTAAAATATTCATCTGAAGATGTGAAGAGTGGTTCCCCATTACCAGTGAGGAACCTGAGTTGTTCGTACACATTCAAAAAGATGAAACATCTACCACAGATGGATATGCTTCAACTAGACCTAAGCCTAGTACAGTTTGTTTCTAAGACAAATTTCTTTATGGTCAAAACAACTTGATCTCACTTCTCAGATACTGTGGGGAGTCCACATGATGCACAGCTAGATTTACAGGGTAACATCTGCATCCAGCTGTGTTACTCCACATCATGGTGACACTGGATTTACTCTGGAGCTTACTGGAAGTTCTGGAGAAATCCTATAGCTTCTGAGAGTGGATTGCTGGAGTTAGCCTGATCCCCTTTCACACTGCCAACAGACCTACTACTGTATCACTGACAGCAAACAGTGTTCTTGAAGGGGCTCTGACAACATCACATTTCTGGTGAAGTGAAATCTAGCACATAGCCGTGTGATCAGAAATTTGTTTGCAGTATTTGTATACCGCCCTTTTCAACCCTGAAGGGGACTCAGGCCAGTTCATGATGTTGGCAACAATTCAATGCCATTGATTTAAAAAACAGCATACATCAAAATTGACCCTCCCCTGATAAAACATTAAACATTATTGAAGACAGCACATAAAATAACATCAAATATCACACAAAGACATAGCCGTTGTCCGCAAACAGTCCTGGGTTATTTCATTTTCAACATTCACTTTAATGTTAAATATTCCTTCATTGATGGGCCGAACGCTTGGTTCCACAGCCAGGTCTTTAGCTGTCTCCTAAAGGTAAGGTGGGACAGGGACCAACCTGATCTCACTCAAGAGTTTCACAGAAATGCTGTGAGAGCTGCTGGCTGGTGGAAGCACAGGAATGGCAACCCCAATGCGCCCTTGACATGAATGGCCAAAGGGCTCTGGGGCTGACTCAAAGTGGCTCTGGAGCCCTTTACACCAGTATATAATTTCCCAGTAAGTGTAGACACAGCCTTGGTAGGAATTATCTGCTGGTAAAAGAAGTGATTCAGTTTAGCAAAAGTGGACACATGAAATGAATTGAAGTATCCCAAATACAAGAATTTTCACTTTTAGCTAGATTAACAGTGCTACCGTAAATTCTAATTCTAGCTCTGCTGAGCAGCTCTCTCTCTCATTTTCTCTCTCTCTTACACACACACATACACGGTACTTCAGTGTTAGCATTTCCTCAAAAATTAGGAACTCTAATTTTTGGTGATGCAGAAAACCCCAAAGAGCAGAATGACTTTTACTTAAGAGCAATGAGAACAATGTTAACTTTTTTTCTTTTAACTTGGAAAGAATGAAAATTCTGAAGGGCACTAAATTTCACCTGAAGCAAAATGCATAACATGGTTTTTGGGGATGTTTCTAGGTTGGAGAATTCAAAAGTGAATTTTTAGTTAATCCTAATAAAAATACTGTCTTCCTATGGATTTTTTATTTTGTTTTGTTTTCATAGATTGTTCTCCATTTTTTGTGGGTCCTTTTTTTCAGATGAAACTAAAAGAGTTTTAGTGAAAATAATGAAACTCCACAGGGAAATTTTGCACATGCATACTGCTGCCTATCAAAGCCCCTGCTCTCCGTTTGGTTGTCATTTATTCTGAGAGAAATCTGGGGCACTGCAGAAACATTGCAAGTTTCCTTATTATGTTATGCTTTGGGTTTTGTTTCTTGTAAGGTTATGACTTTCATTTGAAAAGTCAATGTAAAGATTAATCATTTTCAGCCATACAGCTGTATATTAGACAGCAAGTTTTTAATGCTCTTATAGTTCCTCAAATTACATAACATATCCAGCTCCTGTGGCTTGGTAGAAATGTAATGCCCAAAAGATGCATAAAGTTTTACTTTAGAGAGTCCATGATTCATATCTAGGCTCCTTCCTTCTTTGTTAAATATCCTAGGTCAGCAAAACCACTGAGCATTCATCCTCACTTCATATCCGAGTCAAATGCTGATATATTACCACTTACTTCTCCTAACTTCTAGCAGTTCTGAGCACTACTAAGTACAGCTCAGCATGAGCTCTACTTCAGTCTACAAATTCCCATTACTCTCAAACGAAGCAGGCTAGAAATAGTTACGTGCTCATGCTTTGCAAAGAAGATATGTGTCTTGTGTTCTGGGTTTCTACTACAGCTAAAAGATATACGGGTAGAGTTCTTTCTCCTTATAAGGAAGGAAATGGTAATAGATGAGGTAACTGTAACAGCAAAGCACAAATACTAGATGATGGTAAAAGAGAAAGCTAGAGGAGAATGCTGAGTCATCTCTATGATACTGCATTTCAAAGGCAATCTCTCAAATCCCAACTTTGTATAGAAGAACCTTCTCTCATAAGTATGGTAATCATTATCATTTCTTCTCAAAGATGGTGCTCATCAAGTAAATAATTGTTTTCAGACTCTTCCACAGAGTTCTGCTTAAAATACAGATAGTTAAAATGAACATCATTGAGGTGAAAGACAGAAACATACTCTACTCAATGGAGCATGGTTGAATAAAGTGGCTAAATTGCATAAATGAATGGGCAAATGGGGAAAAAAATCCCTTGAAACTCTGTGCAAGAAAAAGGGCTGCAACCCAACAAAGCATTGCAATCCAACCTGTAATAATAGATTAAAGAAAATACTGAAGGGACTTGCATTCTGCAGTGGCTCCAGTCCTTCCTGGAGAGTCGTTCCCAGGGCTCAGTATTGTCCCCCATGTTGTTTAACATCTACATGAAGCTGCTGGGTGAGATCATCCGGAGTTTTGGAGTTCGATGTAATTTGTATACAGATGACATCCAACTCTATCACTCATTTCCATCAGATTCTAAGGAGGCTGTCCAAGTCCTGAATCAGTGCCTGGCCGCTGTGATGGTCTGGATGAGGGCAAGCAAATTGAAGTTGAATCCAGACAAGACAGAGGTCCTCCTGGTCAGTCGCAAGACCGAATAGAGTATAGGGATGCAACCTGTGCTGGACGGGGTCACACTCCCCTTGAAGGAACAGGTCTGCAGCTTGGGAGTTCTCCTGGATTCATCACTGAGCCTGGAATCCCAGGCTGCAGCGGTGGCCAGGGGAGCGTTTGCACAATTGAAACTTGTGCACCAGCTGCGCCCGTACCTTGGGAAGTCAGACTTGGCCATGATGGTCCATGATCTCGTAACATTTAGAATAGACTACTGCAACACACTCTACGTGGTGGGGGCGAGAGACAGGGCCTTCTCGGTGATATCTCCCTGGCTATGGAACTCCCTTCCTGGTGAGATCAGGTCGGCCCCCTCCCTCCTGTCCTTTAGAAGGATGGTAAAAACTTGGCTGTGGGAGCAAGCTTTCAGGACAGGGCAATGAAGCGGCAGTGGAAAAGATGACAGGGTCAATTGAATTTGATGCGGATGGCTAGGATGGTTTTAAATGGTATATTTTAATATTTTGATAAATGTTTTTTAATGTTTATGTATTGTATGTGAATCTGTGTCCTGGCATTGAATGTTTGCCGTGTATATGCTGTGCTCCACCTGGGTCTCCTTCGGGGTGAGAAGGGCGGAATATAAATGTTTAAAATAAATAAATAAATAAATAAATAAATAAATAAATAAATGTATTGATTATGTGTGGGCAAATGTCTCTTTATTAATCAATACATACTTTTACATTGGGCATACTGGCACAGCCTAATATAATTCTCTATAAATAGGTAGGTGACAAGCAACTTTTTTACTCTTTCGTATCTATGATACACATACTTATTGTCTGCAGAGACAACATATAATTGCAGATTATATAATTCACCCCAAAGCTTTGGGGAAGTGGAACTAAGGAAAGTAATTCATGGTGCCATGATAAATGTCCTTAAACAAGTATTTAACAAAAGAGCTATTATGTTGTATTGAATCATCATGACCTAAATCCAGTTGCTTTTTTATTGTAGAAGACATATTGAATTAATGAGATTGTGATAACTTGACCCTTCTATAACCTCCTCTGACTCTGTTGAAACTGGATTTAGGGTGAGGTTGAAAGTGGGCATTGGTCAATAGATTTTAAAAGATTGGCTACTTATATGTTAATATCATTATGACTGTACCATATTTTGCCTTCTTTCTCCTTATATTAAGTGTGTGCATTGCTCATTGATTATAAAAGATGTATTTCTTTCCTTCCTTTCTTCTTTCTTTAGCTTCAGGATATTTGGGGGAAAACGTTGGGCTGAAAAACTTTGCTTTTTATACAAAAATTATTGACTCAAAAATTCAGAATTACTGCATTTTATGTATGCATTGTTTCTTTTTGTACAAAAATAGATTTTGCCTTTTAAAAAGCTTTTTGCACAATCATTTTGGGGAGGAAACATTTCCAACAACCCCTCCTTCATAAATAAAAATGTTCTGAAGCTCTTGCAGTCGCAATCTTCAAGGAGAAAATATTTGAAATCATCATCCTTGCATATAAAAAAAATCCTTGCTAGCATTAATTTTTAAAATGCAATATAACAAAGAAATATTAAATAATATTTTCTGAATATAATGATGAATCATGTTTTGTATCTTTAAAAAGTTATGAGCTTCCTAATGTAGTAAGAGATGCCTTTCTTGGTTTCTAGGATCAATGGTTTTGGCGTGTCAGAAATAACAGGGTGATGGATGGATACCCCATGCAGATTACTTACTTCTGGAGAGGACTTCCTCCAAGTATTGATGCTGTTTATGAAAACAGTGACGGGAATTTTGTATTCTTTAAAGGTAAGTACTACAAATAAAACAACACTTAAGTAAACAGAAAATCAATGCAGAAATATCTGATAACGTTGCATTTTGTTTCAGTCTTGGGAAGCTCTTACATGGAAATGTTTCTAGTAAATACATATTCTTCTCAGGTAGTCCTCCTTTATAACTTAAAATAGAACAATGCAGTCTGAACTGAAATAAAGGAAACGGTTTTGGTTGAAATCTTCCTTTTAAGTGTTATCCTTTGCAAATACAAAAGATGTATATATAGCTGGAAATCTAATGACCTCTAGATGTTTTGTGTCACACCTCCCTATAACTATTTACCATTAGCCATGCTGACTGGGGCTCATGGGAATTATCATATAGAACATCTTGAGGATGCTGTTGCCTTTCCGTGGCACAGAACAAGTCTCTGATCCTGCTATGGATCAGCTTATGTGGAAATTCTGGAATATACTGTGGGAGTTTTATTTCAGTAATACTGTTGGCAAACTCAGGTTGGACTGGGATAGTGTCTTCTCTATGGATTCATCATTGATAATTCAGAAACTGTTGTGAGTTAATAATGCAGCTTCTAGACTACAAACTGGAACAAAGGTTATGAACATACTATGCTTGGCTGCATCGGTTCCAATAATTCCCAGTTTGGATTTTTAATTACTTATATATCTGAGGACCGAGAAGTTGAAGTATGTTCAACTCAATATATCCAAATACAACGTCGGGATCATGTCAGTGGGGTGATGCTTTCAGACTTTAAAGACACTGTCAAAGGCGTTGATTCCATTTTAGTAATAAGGTTAACAACTTGAATAGTTCTTTAAAGATTAGACTGCGTTCCATAGTGGAATCGCCCTATATTAGAGAAGAGGTGACTAGTTATTGATCCTTTTAGGGTCATTTTGCCTCTCCAAAATACTGGCATAGACATCATATGCACCATCTCTTCCCCATCCCCTCAAATAGCAATTCGATTCATAAAGCATGCAAATAACAATTTAAAGGTTATTTTGGCCTATTCCTGGGGGCAGGGGGAGGAAAGATCCATTTAGAAACTGGAATAAACTGGGTGGTCATTTTCAATATTGTAAAAAAGATATTTGGAGCCTGAAAAACATCTAAAGAAAGATGGGGGGGGGTTGGCTTTAAATGGTAAATTGCACCCCAAAATCTTCTAGGACTTCTCTATTGCTTTTCCCCAGAACATTTATTTTTCAACATGGGGTGCATTAAAAGAGGATTAAGAGCTTTTGGGGACCACATGCAGGCCTCCAAAGGCTGGACTGTGGCCACCCTGCTTTAAAGTTAGTCCCATTCAGAATGACAGGGATTGCTTTTGTATAAATATGCACAAAACTGTGCTGCACTCATGGATACTATTTTTATCTCCCACCCACCCACCCCCCGCCCCAATGCTATCTTTCTGGAGGCAAATACTGTTTTTTCTCAATAGGCTAGGACTATACATTGTTCTAGGACAGTGTTTATCAAACTGTGCTCCTCCAAGTGTTTTAGACTTCAGCTCCCAGAAATCCCAGCCAGCTTACCTGCTCTTAGGAATTGTGGGAGTTGAAAACCAAAATGTCTGGAGGAGCAGTTTGAGAAACTTTGTTCTAGGTCTGTGGTTCTCAACCTGTAGGTCCCCAGATATTTTGGCCTACAGCTCTCAGAAATCCCAGCCATTTTTTCAGCTGTAGGGATTTCTGGAAGTTGAAGGTCAAAACATCTGGAGATCCACAGGTTGAGAACCACTGTTCTCGGGGAATAGGCCTTGAATTGTGTGCTGAAATTTCTATACATTGTTCTCTTTATAATTGCTTGTAGTTTTAATAAGTTTTCAGTTTATAATAGTTTAATTACCTTTTTAATGTTTAATGGTGGAGTTAGGGTGGAATATAAATGAAATATTTTTATTATTGCTGTTGTTGTTATGTTATTTTTAACTATTTTGTAATCCTTGTAAGTTGCCTTGACCTAGAAACAGGCAACAGCTGGTTGCCTGTTTTAAAAATCTAGGAAGAAGAATTGTACTCCATAGGAGTTCAATTTGTGTATATCTAAAGGTAAAGGTAGTCCCCTGACATTAAGTCCAGTCATGTCTGACTCTGGGGTGTGGTGCTCATCTCCATTTCTAAGCCGAAGAGCCAGCGTTGTCCATAGACACCTCCAAGGTCATGTGGCCGGCATGACTGCATGGAGCTTCTGCCAACCTAGCAGTTAAAAAACATGCAAATGCTTTAACCACTGAGCCACCGGGGGCTCCTGTGTATATCTACTACCCTAATATTTCATTTGCTTCCCTCTCTCTAATCAGAGTTATTTAGTTGAACCATTCCTGGCTTTTCTTGCTTACTATGTCATCTGTGTCACAAAATAAATTATTTTTTTTCTGACATGTTGGCTTTAGAGATTTCAGGTGGGCAATGAATTATTAATAAATTTCCTTTTTTATCCAAGTATTTTCTATTATTTAAAAATTACATAAAACCTAGAAACCATAGCATGTGCAATTAACAATTTTAGCAGCATTCTGCCCTCTCCCACACAGTATTTTTTTCTGTTAGATATCATCAGTTGCCTAAAATTAAAGGTCTTAAATATGCATCTAATTTGAGCTTAATGTGAAAATTATACTGTATGTTGAATAAATTCTAGTTTATCATTACAACCTGTTCATAGGGAGTGAAAACGCATGTAAGGTATGATTATTTATGAAGCAAGGATGACTAAATAAGGAATATTTGCATTCATAACAATAAGGCATCAGGTGAAAATTCTCTACTTGAACTGTACAGGTTATGGTCACTGATGATTATAGCTCAAATATTGTGAGAAAGATTGTGAGATTGGCAAAGTTACTGAAGATGCATTACTTTTTCAATTTCAATTTTTCTTGATTTATTATTTTCCCAATCCCTGATTTGTTCCATCGTGTTTCTAAAACAGTTTGTGACTCTTCAAAGAGAGAGATAAATACTCTCAATAAATAAACACAAGTATTTTCTGTATTTTGGCTGCATTTCTTCTAATATACACTTTTAATGTATTTTATCACACACAAACACACACACATGTACTGTAGGTATACATACATACATACATGTATTTTATTTATTTATTTATTTACTTTACTTTACTTATATACCACTCAGCCCGAAGGCGACTCACAGCTACTGTATATATCTTGTAATCCACTTTCCTTTATATCATAATAATATATATATATATTTGTCGTGTCAGGATTGACTTGAGAAACTGCAAGTTGCTTCTGGTGTGAAAGAATTGGCCGTCTGCAAGGATGTTGCCCAGGGGATGCCCGGATGATTTGATGTTTTTATCATCATTGTGGGAGGCTTCTCTCATGTACCCGCATGAGGATCTGGAGCTGATAGAGGGAGCTCATCTGCCTCTCCCTGGATTTGAACCTGTGACCTGTCGATCTTCAGTCTTGCTGGCACAAGGGTTTAACTTTATTTGTATTCCTGCCCCATCTCCCTGAGGGGACTCAGAGTGCTTCACAACAGTATAATTATACAAATCATCTCAACAACAACACACATAAATATATCTAATTTAAATTAAATCAGCAGTTAATAATGAGGCAAAATATATAAGTAAAACAGCATTTTAAACATCCCAACCACAGTTGAAGTGAAAAGCAACGGTAAGATCAAATTTGAGATCCATTTGACATCTCCAACCATTGGATGACATTAAGTTTACCCATTTTCAAACACCTGTTTGAATAGCCAGGTTTTCAGTTCTTTCTGAACTGCGTGGGAGCCTGTCTAATCTTCTTGGGAAGGGAGTTCTAGAGCTGGAGCCCTATACCTTGCCCCACCAACCACACTTCTGACAGAGGTGGGGCTGTGGGGAGAGCCTCCCCAGCAGATCTTCGGGTCCAAATTGGTTCATAGTCCTATTTATGCAGTTGCATAAATAGGCTGGACCCAAACCATGTAGGGCTTTATAGGTAATAACCTGCATTTTGTATTGGACCCAAAAACACATAGGCAGCTGATTAAGATGTTTTAATAGGGGGGTGGTATGTGGAGCCCCAGGTGGCGCAGTGGGTTAAAGGGCTGAGCTGCTGAGCTTGTTGACCAAAAGGTCACAGGTTCGAATCTGAGGAGCAGTGTGATCTCCCGCTGACAGTTCCAGCTTCTGCCAACCTAGCAGTTAAAAAACATGCAAATGTGAGTAGATCAATAGGCACCACTCCAATAGGAAGGTAACGGTGCTTCATGCAGTCATGCCAGCCACATGACCTTGGAGGTATCTACGGACAATGCTGGCTCTTTGGCTTAGAAATGGAGATGAGCACCACACCCCAGAGTCAGACACGACTGGACTTAATGTCAGGTGAAAACCTTTACCTTTACCTATGTACCCTGTAATTTGCTCCAGTCAACAGCCTAGATGCTCATCTTTGTACTAATCGTAGTTTCCAAGCTGTCCCATATAAATTGCATTGCAGTAATCCATCCGAGATGTAACTAGGGTGTGGACCACTGTGGCCAGATCAGACTTTTCAAGGCATATTTCTGCAATGCTTTTGTCAGTGAAAATTGGATGCTACCTTAATGTAATGCCCATTGCAAGCCTATTTCCCCCCTAAAAATACAGTTCTGCATGATGTTGCTCAACATTTTCAAATTTTCATAAATACTGTCTTAAATCTTAAGCAATTTTCTGTTTCTCCCTAATACAGAAATTGCAATATAATGTAGAACAAAAATAAGCCATTCACACAGCAAAGGCAACTATCTAGGGCAAGCTGATTTCAAGCTGCAAATCCCTCAGAGTGGCCTGTCTGCTTTTCTTTTCTTTCCCAAGGGAGAATGGGTCTTGTCGTTTCCGAGAGTCTTTCATGATCCAAATGAAATAATTCTTGTAATCAGAGCCAAGTTCCCATCAATTTGGGCAAGAAGTCTGGATAAAGTCCAGTACTCCGTTATCAACAGAAAAGACCCAGTGACCTCTATTAGTGACACATGCTCAGTCTTAGAAAAGGAAAGAGATTGGGAAAGCTTTTTGGTGTCAGAAGGGCCACTTTAGTTTCACATAACTTCTTGGCTAAAGAGACTTTTGGCTCTTGATGAAATATGCCATCTGACACTGCCAGTGCCTACATTTTTTTCTTTTTGGCCTAGTAACCTGTAGCAAGAATCTCTATCCAAACTCATGTAGATCTGCAGTTATGTTAGTTTCCCATATGAGAATAAAAAATGTACAGTGCTCTCCCAGCTGAGCAAGATTACAACATTTTTTACACTCACAATCTTTACACTGGTCGACACAGGCTTTATACCTGCTAGCAAAAATAGCCTTCATTTTGGGAAGTTGAGGTTTCACTAAAGGCTGTAAGGCTTTCAGTTGTACAAATATGTTTTTTAGTGTTCCTTATATTTTGTATTGAAACTTGAATGTGAAACCAATGAAACCAACTACTCAGAAACTTATTTGAATGTGCATAGCAATCAAACCTGGTTTTTTGTACTTTCATATGTACTTAACCTTCTGTCTTATGGGTCAATATTGATTGAGGTTATGGTGGCTGACAATATAACATGAATATGTTCCTGAAAAAAGACAATAACAGTCTTTCATTTTCATTCAAGGCTGATTTTCTTATTGGATAGCAATAAGAAAATACCAGTGAAGTTAGCAAAAAATCTAAGTTCTCTGTAGAGGAGATCTAGATTGTGTAATATTTTCTAAAGTGAACAAGAATTTAAGCAGCGCTAAAAGCTAATTGTCAAAGACATCTACAGTATTAAAATTTGTGCCAAGCCAAATGCAGTAAGAAGTTTGCTGTAAAATTCACACTATTCTTGCCATAATTTTCAACATTGGTCACCTTACTGCTTGACAGTTGAATTCTGAAAGCTAAAATTTACTGGCAAGGTGTCAATGAGGGGCCTGTAACATCACCCATATAGATTAAAACAAAAATTAAGTACAAGTGGAAAAATTGAGAGATTAACACCTGTGCCCACTTCAGAGAGTTGACTATGAAATGTCTTTAAGATCTTGTACACAGTAGGGCTGGGTAACAACAGAAAAATTTGTTTCTAAACTCGTTTCGTTTTTAGGGGGTCCATTGCGTTTCGTTTTTTAAAAGAATTCTGAATTTTTTTCGTTATTTACGAAATTTCTTAAATTTCGAATTGATTCGTTAATGGTGGACGCGATTGCGCAATATGCTAAAAAAAACCTCCAAATGGGACAGGGGGAACTTCTGAAGCTTCCCTCTCCCTCTGTTGTTGACTGTTGGTGTGATAATTTATTTTTTTATCACTGATAAAACAAGCAACAACTATAAAACTTGCACCAGACATACGGAAATAATAACGATACAATTTCAAAACGATTTCGAACCAATTACGAAACAATTACGAAATAAATTGAGAAATTCGTTTCAATTTTTAGTTGCTCCTGCATGGCTCAATATCGGATCGTAAGCTAATTTAAATACGAATCAATAACGAATTACGAAATTAACGAACGAAACCGCCCAGCCCTAGTACACAGACTTTATGTCCTGTATTAAAAAAAAACTTTGAGTGGTTTATTTTGTGATTTTTAGGGACCACATATACTGCTGAGATACTGTATTTATTCTATGGGATTGAATATGTCTATTGTTTCTATATCAATGTATTCCTTGATATATATTATATGTGTACATGTGTGAATTATTTCAAGATATGTCTTCAATTGCTATTCTATATGCACTAATTCAGCTTTTGATTTGGCCTAAAGGCTAATCAATACAATTTACTTCTACTACACTAATTCAGTGTCTTATTTTTTAGCAGGCCTTGATTTTTGCATAAATGTGATAGTATAATAGGTTTAGGGAAAAAAGGATGAAACACCATTGCAAGTTTTTATGTACCATCAAGTTAACTTTGTCTTACAGCAGCCCTGTGAATGGGAGACATCCAAGGCATCCTCTTAACAAAAGCCCTGATCAGGTCTTGCAAACTCAATGCTGTGGTTTGCTTTACTGAATCTTTTAACTGGTAATGCAGTATTTATCTTTGGCAATAACCTTCAGTCTTTCCTTAAATAAGTCTGGGTTAGCAAAAGTGGCGGGGGGGGGTAAGATTCTTATGTCACCTGCAGGGAGAAGGTAATAGCAATTTTGTGTAGTGAGGAACTTTATTTATTTATCGTGCCATCAGCAACCATTGTATTACAATTCTAACATAGCAAAACAAACACAGAGATTAAAAAGAAAAAGAAAAAAAAGAAGGAAAAAAACCACACAGATTTTGCAAATTTGGTATTTGGTTAAATGTCCTTTGACCAGTATCTGGCCACTTGGAGTGCCTCTGGGGTTGCCGCAAGAAGGTCCTCCATTGTGCATGTGGCAGGGCCTGTGAGGAACTGATATGAATAGAAAGAACATTCAAAACTATGTAAAAAACAAACCTGGAATGTGTGATTCTGAAATGTAAAGAAACTCTACTATGAAGGATTATGGAATAATGAGAATCTTTTCAGATCAGGACATAAGATTTACATGTAGATTTTTGCACAAAGAACAGCAGTGTATTTTTCATGTAATAAATCCCAAATTACAGAATGTGTATGCAGCAAACATTTTATCCACAGAAAATAATATTCCTATGAAGCAATATGATGTATTTAAAAATTATGTGCCATGTACAGAAAATGCTATTTTCTGTGAAAAAATTATGCAAATTTTGTACAGAATAAATTCCAAACAGCATAAAGTGTGCATTGAGAAGAAAAATACTAAAATCACTTATTGCTTTCTTAGTAAATAAATATAAAATCTCTAGGAGAGGAGCGGACTATATCCCATTTTCTAATTAAAAGCATGATAAAAAAAAACAGTGTTACAAATTACAGAGATTCAGGGGCAAGAAAGCAAATCCTTTCCTCCCAAAGTCTCTTTTTATTCTTTAAGACTTTTTATTTGTTTTAATATGACTGGAAGATATCCATAAATCAATCTGTGCGACAGGTACTGTTTTTTTCATAACAGTAACATGAGAACAAGCGTGATCATCAGTCTTTGCGGTAAAGTAAAATTTGATTTTGAAATGTCTATAGAAAATAGTATTTAATGACTGTTCAAGAAGCATGTCTTCCCAAATATTTTGTTAAATACAAACTTCTATTTTTGTGCCTGCCAAAAGTGATGGTACAGAGGAAAGTCTCCAAAGAAACATACTTTCCCATTAGCTCCTCTGCCTCAAGTTGTCTTAGTAGATGTCTGCATTACAAGTGGTCTACTTAGGAAATGCACTATCAGGAAAAGGTTTGTATTTCTGTGGTTCAAATTGTGTTCTAATTTTTTTATTGAATGACATTGCCCACTCTCAGTTGCTGTCAATATTTTCCATTCTACTAGTTCATATAACATGCTGCAAATTTCCTGGACAATTCATTGAGCACCAAGTCAAAGGCAGAATAGTATCACTTTTTGATATACTAAGCAGCATATATCAAGCCCTTGTGTGGGCTGCCATTCATGGCTGATGAGCTGCATCAGTTTCTTGAGTCACAATCACAAGTTGCGTAGGCTTACCCATTTGGAATTCTGCAGCATATTGAGGATACAATATGACAATGTCAAATGTATGAATCAGTTGCGCATTTCAAGCTTTTTATCACTGTATATATCAGTACTCCGCCTCTGTTTTCTAATATAGTTAGCAAACTAAAAGTTACATATTTCTTGAGTAGAATTAAGTGGGGAGTTGAGGATGTTTAAAACTTGGTCAGACTGTTTAGATTATGCCACTTGGATGCATTTTATCAACAGAAAATGATTCAGGAATCTAATGTAGGTCTTTCTCCCCTTTTTTGCTTTTCAGGTAACAAGTTCTGGGTCTTCAAGGACACCACGCTCCAGCCAGGGTATCCTCATGATTTGATAACATTGGGGAATGGGATTCCACCCCATGGGATTGATTCAGCAATTTGGTGGGAGGATGTTGGGAAAACATACTTCTTTAAAGGAGACAGGTTGGTATCTTGAATCAAATAATTCAGTTTTTGTTGTGATTGGTACTTATACTCCCTTGTAGCAACTCCCTTGTTGCTGAAAATAGACTCAGGTAGAACATCCAGTCTTCTGTTTTACCAAACTGAGATCATTTGAGTTTTTTATTTGTGCTCCTTTACACAGGTTAAATCAGGTGTCCTTTGTCTCTAGCCAACTACTATAGAGCTTCTCTGTTCAGTGTGACAAGGCTTTGTTGTTACAGGGGTTTTTATCCAGCTTTCTTCTCTGTTAACTAATAACTAGCCATGATGAATAAAACAGATGGTAGTGATTGTGATAGGCACCAATATTGATCAGTGTTTGGAAGAATATGTCAATGTTGAGATTTAAGAAACAGTTTGATTGTGTGAAGTATCTCTTTTAGTTTTTTTTGCTATGCATTGTTTAAACTTCAGAGCACTTGAGAATCAAACTATTACACTTTTTCCACTTTTAGAAAATATATCCTTATAAAAATGTGGGTATGAGAGGAGAGTACAGAACCTGTGCCATATTTTGTTCCATTTGCTTGCTCTGCTGTCCACCTCCTTTGCTTTCCCTTTCATTTTGTTTTGGATTAAGGAACACAAGGGAAGCAATAGTAAACACTGGTCCTTATGCTTGAGCTTTATTCATGAAGTTGTGCAGAGAAACAAATAACTGGTACAAGAACTGAATGCTAAAGGACAAAGAAATCCATATAGACCTCAGGTGTGGTCCCTTAATTTCCAGCTGCCCTGAAGGAAACATAGGAAATTGCCTTAAACAGGGTCAAAGTATTTGCACTTCTCATTTAATATTCTGTAATTTGTCAGGTTTAAGATATGAATATAGAGCTACATGAACATTGGAAGCCGTTCTGAGTCCCTCCGCAAAGGTCAAAAAGGATGGGATATAAATATTTTAAATAAATAAACAAATAAACATTGTAGTTAGATGCACTTGATCACAATGAAGCTGAGTGTGGATTACTTTAATCAAGTTGTATAGCTCTGATCAAAGTAGACATTTTTCCTCAGATGTGTTCATAGGAATCCCAAATAAGAAATACTTTTCTCATGTATTTAAATCTCATTGGAGAACTGTACTCTTACAGTGGAAATGTAGGTGTAGATTTCCCCTTGGAATTCCTATTCACATTAAACAGTTCTAGAAACACCAGTTCTCTAGTTGTGTATTCATGCAATTTAGGAACAGTATCTTGTAGAGACAAATCTCCCACGTACAGCTGTAGCACAGACAAATCTCCTGGGCATATAAGAAACTTACTATAGACAGGAATAGTCCCACAAACATCTCAAACATAATGCATGCTGCTTCACTTCTTTATTATATCATGAAAACACAAATTTGTTTTTGCAAATCAGTTCTTTCTTAGAGATGACACAGACAAGCTACTGACAACTAAAATGTTTAAGGTCAAACATACTGCAATTAGCTTTTACTGTGATGAAAAGCTATGGTATAATTTGCTTTCTATATGGACCAAAATATTTGTTGCTTTAAGTTTGTTGAAGGATCATGGTTTTGGGACTGCAGGATCTTGGGAACATTTCAGTTATAGGCACCCTGTCTGTATGTGTAATGTAGGGTTTCTATAAACTTTATTTGGTGACGATAATGTGTAATAGATTTCTTTCCATTGGCAATTGCACCAAGTCAAGGTCTTCCTAAAAATACTGCAAGCTTTAGCAAAAAGAATTGAAAAAATAGACTGGGAAATATCAAAGGAAACTTCTGTTGATAGAAAGGTTGCTACTTAGAGCTGTAACAAGAATAATGAGACTCTGCAGGACACGATTGCAATACAGTACAGAAGATCGAAGAACATGAACCTTGCAGAGATAATTGAGCTATTACAGGATATTGACCACTAGTGGGAATAAGCCCATATCCCACTAAGCCTCTCAGTATGTATTGTTCATATCACCTTTTTTCCTTCTTAATATAATGTTAGAGTTGAATTCTCCTGCTGGTCTTAATTGCACACATAAGCCTATTACAGTCTTCTTGCTGAATTGGTGAGAAATCTCGGTTGCTTCTTTAGTAGCAATGAGGTTGGAAGGCATGAAAGAAACTGGCAAGAGGTGACGCCAAAGTCAAAAGAGGTAAGTAGCCACATGAAAAACCCACGAAAAAAATAGCACACTCCTTTTAGGAGAAAAGTACTGGAGGAATCACAATGACAATGCAGATATGAATCAGCAAGTCTTTGAGAAGTGGTATAAATAGCAAGTGAGCAATTGCTCCGGATAAATCTGTGTTGATTTTGGTATTGGACACATTCCACTATGAATACATTTTGAATGTATCCCACAAATGGAATTGGAATCACTTTTCTGGAGACCTACACACTACATTGCACAAAAGGGGCCCTGTCATTCCCGAAAGTAAACAGGTCTTGGTAGTAGGCGACTCCCTCCTTAGAGGAACGGAAGCTGTCATTTCCAGACCAGATGGGATGGCTCGAGAAATATGCTGCCTACCGGGGGCAAAAATACACCATATCACTCAGAGGCTCACCAGGCTCCTCAAGCCCTATCACCGTCCTCCCCTCATGTTGATTCATGTAGGAACCAATGATACTGCAAGGCACACGTTTCAAAAGATCACAAATGATTTTCGAGCTCTAGGAGCAAAGCTAAAAGAATGTAATGTACAGGTGGTCTTTTCATCCCTCCTCCCTGTTGTAAGACACGGACCCACAAGAGCCAGAAAAATAGTATAGGTCAATGACTGGCTTAGAAAATGGTGTCAGGAGGAACGCTTTGGCTTCCTCGACCATGGTCTGCTTTTCCAGGAGGATGGCCTACTGGCAAGGGATGGGGTGCATCTCACACAAGTAGGAAAACACCTTTTTGCTCACAGACTCGCAAACCTCATTAGACGCACTTTAAACTAGGTCCACCGGGGGAGGGGGACAACAGCCTTGCGAACACTACTTTACCCATAATGTCTGGGAATCGCCAGAAGGCTAAACGGAGGGCTGCACAAACACAACAAGGACCAAGTACCAAAAGCACAATAATCCCAATTAAACAGCTCAAGGAAGATCTCAGGGGCTCACATGTCTTTACACTAATGCACAGAGCATGGGAAATAAACAAGACGAACTCCAACTTTTAGCACAACACCACAAATATGATATCATAGGGATCACTGAAACCTGGTGGGATGACTCCTATCGCTGGAATGTAGATATCGAGGGGTATAACCTCTTTCACAGAAACCGAACAAAGGGGAGAGGAGGCGGAGTAGCCTTATATGTCCAAAACTCTTATGCTGCAGAAGAGATTCAAGACAGCAATCTGGGAAACCAGCTTGAAATCATCTGGATAAGAATCAAGGGAACTGGGACTCAAAAAGATGTCGTTGTAGGCGTCTACTACAGACCCCCAAGCCAGGAGGAAGAACTTGATGAAGTCTTCTGCCAACAGTTGACCAAACAGGCACAGAGAAGAGATGTAGTAGTCATGGGCGATTTCAACTATCCCGATATTTGCTGGAAAACAAACTCGGCCAAGATTACAAGGTCCAACAAATTCCTCGCTTGCCTTGCAGACAATTTCATGGTCCAGAAGGTAGAAGAGGCAACAAGGGGATTGGCTACTCTTGATCTCATCCTAACAAATGCGGAGGACCTGATCGATGCGGTCGAAGTGGTAGGATCCTTAGGGGCAAGTGACCATGTGCTCCTGCAATTTGAGGTACAAAGGAAGGCCGAAACTAAGACAAGTCAAACCCGCATTTTGAACTTTAGGAGAGCTGATTTCCAAAAAATGAAGGAAACACTGAGCAGCATTCCGTGGACACAGATACTAAAAGACAAGGGAGTTACGGATGGATGGGAATTTCTCAAGAGTGAAATACTCAAGGCGCAATTGCAAACCATGGCAACAAAGAGAAAAAATAGGACAAGTGCAAAGAAGCCAGAATGGATGTCCAAAGAACTTCTAACTGTGCTAAGACACAAAAGAGACATGCACAAGAAGTGGAAAAAGGGAGAAATCACCAAAGAAGAATGCAAACAAATAGCCAACACCTGTAGGGAAAAGGTCCGCAAGGCTAAAGCAAAAAACGAGCTCAGACTTGCCAGGGACATTAAAAACAATAAAAAGGGCTTCTATTCTTATGTCAGTAGAAAAAGGAAAAACAAGGAGGCGATAGGACCTCTTCGAGGAGAAGATGGGGCAATGCTGACAGGGGATAGGGAAAAGGCAGAACTACTTAATGCCTTCTTTGCCTCGGTCTTCTCACAAAAAGAGAGTCTTCAACCTCAGCAAGATGGAGTGGATGAGGGATTGGAGGACATCCAACCCCAAATTGGGAAAGAAGTCGTCCAGGAATACCTGGCCGCTCTTAATGAGGTCAAGTCCCCAGGGCCAGATCAACTACACCCCAGAGTATTGAAGGAACTAGCGGAAGTCATTTCGGAACCATTGGCAACCATCTTTGAGAGTTCTTGGAGAACGGGAGAAGTTCCAGCAGATTGGAGGAGGGCCAATGTGGTCCCAATCTTCAAGAAGGGAAAAAAGGCTGACCCAAACAACTACCGTCCGGTCAGATTCTGGAAAAGATTGTTAAGGAAGCGGTCTGCAAACACTTAGAAACAAATGCAGTCATCGCTAATAGTCAACATGGATTTATCAAAAACAAGTCATGCCAGACTAATCTGATCTCTTTTCGATAGAGCTACAAGCTGGGTAGATGCGGGGAATGCCGTGGATGTAGCATACCTGGATTTCAGTAAGGCCTTTGACAAGGTCCCCCATGACCTTCTGGCAAGGAAACTAGTCCAATGTGGGCTAGGCAAAACTACGGTGAGGTGGATCTGTAATTGGTTAAGTGGACGAACACAGAGAGTACTCACTAATGCTTCCTCTTCATCTTGGAAAGAAGTGACAAGTGGAGTGCCGCAGGGTTCCGTCCTGGGCCCGGTCCTGTTCAACATCTTTATTAATGACTTAGATGAAGGGCTAGAAGGCATGATCATCAAGTTTGCAGACGAACCAAATTGGGAGGGATAGCCAATAGTCCAGAGGACAGGAGCAGAATTCAAAACGATCTTGACAGATTAGAGAGATGGGCCAAAACTAACAAAATGAAGTTCAACAGTGACAAATGCAAGATACTCCACTTTGGCAGAAAAAATGAAATGCAAAGATACAGAATGGGTGACGCCTGGCTCGAGAGCAGTACGTGTGAAAAAGATCTTGGAGTCCTCGTGGACAACAAGTTAAACATGAGCCAACAATGTGATGTGGTGGCAAAAAAAGCCAATGGGATTTTGGCCTGCATCAATAGGAGCATAGTGTCTAGATCTAGGGAAGTAATGCTACCCCTCTATTCTGCTTTGGTTAGACCACACCTGGAATATTGTGTCCAATTCTGGGGACCACAATTCAAGAGAGATATTGTCAAGTGGAATGTGTCCAGAGGAGGGCGACTAAAATGATCAAGGGTCTGGAGAACAAGCCCTATGAGGAGCGGCTTAAGGAGCTGGGCATGTTTAGCCTGAAGAAGAGAAGGCTGAGAGGAGATATGATAGCCATGTATAAATTTGTGAGAGGAAGCCACAGGGAGGAGGGAGCAAGCTTGTTTTCTGCTTCCTTGGAGACTAGGACGCGGAACAATGGCTTCAAACTACAAGAGAGGAGATTCCATCTGAACATGAGGAAGAACTTCCTGACTGTGAGAGCCGTTCAGCAGTAGAACTCTCTGCCCTGGAGTGTGGTGGAGGCTCCTTCTTTGAAGGCTTTTAAACAGAGGCTGGATGACCATCTATCGAGGGTGGTTTGAATGCAATTTTCCTGCTTCTTGGCAAGGGGTTGGACTGGATGGCCCATGAGGTCTCTTCCAACTCTTTGATTCTATGATTCTATGATTCTATGGTGGAGCAGCAGTAGTAAATTAAATGTCTAGTGCATTAAATCTAGAGCAACTGTGCAAAAAAATGGCCATAGAGAACTGTGAATATATTCCTCTCAAATGTCAGCAACATTCTGCTGTCAGTCATCATCTTAATTTTTCTTGGTTTTCATGCTGTTCATAACTAGGCCCTTGGTATTCACATGCACCCCTTCTTCCTAAGTATATTCTCTACTAAAATCCATTTTTTTTACTAAAATCCAATACTCTTCTCATTTGGGTGCCAATTAAAATGGTCTTTATTTCAACATGCTTTCAGGCATTTGGCAAGTGTTTAATTTGTTTTTGACTGCTGCTTCTTTTATTGTACTTTAGCACATATTAGCAAGTTTAGACCAGTGTAACTTGTGATTTCAGACTTGTGATTTTAAGTATTTGTATTTTCTCATTTTAATTGTGTTTTTTATGTAACTTTTTTTTAGAAATAGTTAAACTGCCCTGAACTCCATGACAAAAGGCATGGTATACATCAAGTCCTTCAAAAATATATAATATACATCCTATATTAGAACTTTTTCTGACATGATAATCCACATATATAGTTGTCAGGAAATCAGGAAACTGATAGATTTATAACATAATATATATGTTGTTAAGCATTTTTTAAAATAATTTTCTGCTTTTGTCTATTTTCAATTCCAAATCGTTGCTTTTTTATTTAATTTATTTTTTTCCTGTTTTAAGGAGGGTGGATGAATACACTTTTCTAGTGTTAGCATCTTTGTATAAACATTAAACACTGTTAACTATTATTTGAAATATGCCTATGTGAAATACCACAGCAGTAAACAGAAAGCTTATCCTGAAATAAAAAGAGGAAAAATATTCAGCTGCATGGGGTTAAGCAAGTGGACCCTCCCTTGTACCTATCTACAAAATGTTTTTTAGCTTTTTTTAATCAAAAGTAGCTAATTGCAAGCTAATTTTAAAATGGTGTTACAGTTTCAGCTTATAGTGTTGCATGTGGTACAATTATTATTATTATTATTATTATTATTATGTTTATTATTATTATGTTTATTATTATGTTTATTTTCACCTGCTTTTTCTCTCCACAAGGAGACTTATATCACATATATGAGTGATTGTTCAATTCTAGATAGAAGCATAGACTTAGAGTGGGTAACAAATACAATTTATGATTACCAGCTTGCTTCTGTGTAGGAGAAGCAAGCTAGTAATTCTACTAGCTTGCTTCTTGTCTGGAAAGAAACCTCACTGAATGTGGTGTAGCTTCCTTGTGGCAGAACATATTTCATGTTATGTTGTTGATCCATCTCTTTGTCTTGCATTGTGGAGACAAGGGCTTTGGGTATGACTTTCACAAAGAAATCATTGTAAATTACACAGAGTGGATCCATATTCCTTGTCCAATCCATAGAACTGTGCATATGACAAGTATTTGTGAAAAACTATAATTTCTAATTGGAATGGACAACTGCCCTGAAAAACCCTAAATACGAACAGCTACTCATATATGGGCATCCTAAATATATAAAATGTCCTAAATATGGACATCTAACCTGAAATATAAATGTCAGGCCACGTGGCCAGCACCCATCGTGTTTCCTCACATGAAAAAGCTAATATATAATGCAATGTATACTGAACATTAAATGATTGTTTTTAATTATAATTACACAATCCTTTCCTTGTTTTGAAGGGGGGAAATATTTAATTTATTTATTTACAGTATTTATATTCTGCCCTTCTCACCCTGCAGGGGACTCAGGGCAGATTACAATGTACATATACATGGCAAACATTCAATGCCATAGACACACAACACATATAGACAGACAGTCAGAGGCTATTTAACATTACAGTGTTAGTCTCTGTATGAAACTTCCACTCTTGTATAACTTTGAATGGAATATTTCGCTTTGTTTTTTTTAATGATAATGAAAATAAGAGCACAGGTCCCTCCCTCCCCACCCCCTTTATTAAAAACATACAGAAGTCAGAGTTTAATTCCTGATTAGGGGGCTTATATGGATCACTTCCCATCCCTACTAAGTAATTCAAGTTCAAGTTCACTTTATTATGGTCAATGACCAGCTCATGAGAAGAGGGACACAGTCCCGCACAAACACATCAGGTCTAAGGGTTGAGAGATTTGAAACTTTAAAACTCTAAAACATTAAAATAAGTGCATCATTTCCAGAACATCTAGACAATAGTATCTCAAAATTAATGGATTTAAAGGGGAGGGAGTCTGAAGGTAAGGCATTGGGGTGCTCATGTAGCACAGGAAAGGGAAGTCCAGTCTGACAGAGGAGGGAGCAACATCCATTACTATAATTCAAAGACTATAATTAAAAGACTATAATCCCAATGTACTGCTAGTATGAAATCTTGACTTGTACTAGCTGGTGCTATTCAACTAAGTAATTGAACCAATGGGATCTTATCTGATGCTATTTCTTTTCAATGTATTCATAAGATGTGGTTTTACATTTATCCTGCTCTCAGTGTTTGCTACCCAACATAGGTTACAATATAGTTCTGCTTTTAGCAGAGTAAAGATGTGGCAGCTTGCAGCCATGTGGGGAGGCTATGCATATTTTTGTAGTGCTAAACCTTAGGTTAGTGTTGCATCTAAACACAACATTTGGTTTGAATTTTTACAACGCTTTAGAGTGCTAACAGTACAATTCTGTAATAATTATTGTGAAGTGGATTCTTCTGTATTTCATGGTACTTAAGATTGCAACCTTAATTATTCCAAATCTATAGACTGCTGATTTTTTTTATCGTGAACATTTCTTTGTGTGTACAAAATGTAGCACCTTGAATTATTTAGTAGACAGTGTCTGACTAGATAATCAAAGGACCCTATAATGCATAACCTAGGAGAAAAATTAAGATAGACTTGGGAGCCTTTACTCAGACTTTACTGGCTTGTGTGCAATTAAAACCTTGACTGAATCATTACTATAGATATTTCCATATAACATATGTTCTCATGTGGTACCACTAGACATCAGGGTTGTTCTGATTATGAAAAGGGGATTTACTGGTTTGGTTTTCAAACTTTTGTTTTTCTACACTTACTAGAAACAGCTGTCTAATCATCAAGCCAATTAAATGTCTTTGTTATCTGTGAGTATATCTTACATGAAACTGATCTGGTGTTCCTAATTATTTGACACAGTGCACCGAAAATGTTTATTTATAAATGCAGATTTTTAACCACATATTCTTTTTTTTAGGTACTGGAGATACAGTGAAGATATAAGGACTATGGATGCTGGTTACCCTAAACCAATCACAATTTGGAAAGGTATCCCAGAATCACCTCAGGGAGCCTTTATCCACAAAGAAAATGGTATGTTGCTATTTAGGGAGAGGAGTAGTTATCAGAAATGTCTAAAAACAACTCTAGAATACCCTGGCAGGACTATATACCCAAAATTTCAATATCTCATTTTCTTACTATGCTTGCTGTCTTGAGTCAAGACTATTATTTATTTATTTATTTGTTTGTTTGTTTGTTTGTTTGTTTGTTTGTTTCATGTTCCACTTTTCTCCCATGGTGGAATTCAAGGCAGCTTACATAGTAACATGATTAAAAACAGATAAAAATACTTAAAATATATTTAGAACTGTATGGTTAGCACTCTGTATTCACAAATTATGAATACACAGATTTGACCATCCCAAAAAAAATATTCAAAAGAATGTAAAAAAAAAGCCATATTTTCTTTTTGCAACTTTATATTTAAAAAACATCATTTTGCTAGACCATTGTATATAATGGAAGTGGAGCATGTTGATACAGGGCCCAATATAATTTCCTTTAAGACATATAAAGTAGCATTGTTGCATGAATCTCACAGTTACCCCACCCAAAGAAGCCAGGTTGACCAAAGGAAAACAGCTAAAATGGATCAGCACACAAGCCTCCACATCACCTCTCATTCATTCATTCATTGTGTTGACTGAAGCTGATAGAATTTACAGTTAAATAAAATCTCAATGAGTCACATTTCCCAGCCACAAAGACTTCCACATTGTTTGATGCTTAACTGCCCTTGTGCTGTTAACAATTTAATGATGCAGTCTTTACTTGTTCAAGTGTCTAATAACAGAATAAAAATGCCAAGATATGTGACTACTTAGTTCCCCTCAGCCTCCTGAACTTTATATGCGATTGATTTATCAGAGATTGATTTTCTTTGTTTCTCTTTCTCCCAATGACACATTTATTCCAATTCTATATTCATTTCCATGGGAAAAAACGAGACATTTCAACTTGTTAAGAATGGTTATTCCTTTCTTTTGGAAAATATAGCTAATTGCTGCAAAGGCGTGTTCTTGTCAGGGATATGCTTAATCACTTCCATAGATCTGTTGCATCCATCAAAGGCAGCACTTTCCTGAAATGGCCATTCCAGTTGGAGAAAAGTCATCCTCCTTCTCAACAAAGTAGTAGTTCAGGCAGCATCACATTTTTACATATATTTCTATCAAATACTAGTTCACAAATATGATAATATATCCCATTATACATCCATATTAATGGAAATAGGTGTAAATATCTATATATAGTCAGCCCATGCTTTGTTAAAATCAAATTTTGAATTCGTAATAGTATACAAGATGGAAAGTGTTTTTCTCGTGCAATTGTGTGAAGTGGCTCTTTGGTCAAAGTGAATTGCACAGATTTTCAGTTACTAAAATATTGACAAAGAAACCTTTCAAAAAGCAGTTAAATGACTTTGTAATGGTGTCATTGCTTCTCTTCAAGCTACATGTGAGAAATCCTTGGGCAAAGCAAAAAAGAAATGAGCATTGAAAGTTGCCTGGTGAACCCTGCAGGAACAGTACTGTGAATTGCTCCCCATAGTCAGGATAACTGCATGGATATATTGGCAAATGCATGAAGAAACAATGAATTTATCAAGAATACAAATAAGAAACAGAATACTTTCAAAATACTCTGATTAATTTTTGCCTGAAACCATTTTCCTTCTAGTCTTCGGATGAAAATTCCACTTGAAATTTCAGCAGATTACTTTAGAGAAGAAATTGGAGCTGCTTTTAATTAAACATCCTATGACATCAAAACATTATTATAGCTTCGGCATTCAATTCTAACAAACATTTCATGGGGCTAGATCCTACATTAGGAGCTTGCTAAAAATGAAATAGTTAATTTTTGAATTGTTGTTGTCTACCATCAGTTAACTTCAATTTATAGCAATCCTACTAATGAAAGATCTCCAAGTCACTCTGTCATCAACAGCCCTGCTCAGGTCGTTCATACTCTGGGCTGTGGTTTTCTTGATTAAGTCTATTCATCAGTAATGCACTTTTCCTCTTTTCCTACTGCCTTCTATCTTATCAAACATTATTATCTTTTCTAGCGAGTCATTTTTTCATATGTCTAATATATGGCAGTCGCAGTTGAGTCATATCAGATCAGCGTTTCTCAACCTGGGGGTCAGGACCCCTGGGGGGGGGGTCCCAAGGGGGTTTCAGAGGGATCACTAAAGACCATCAGAAAACATATATTTCTGATGGTCTTAGGAATCCTTTTGACAGAGAAAGCTGAAGATCTCTCCAGCTTCCCTTCTCTTCCTTTTTGGAAACAGATGGCAAATCCTCCCACCAAAAGCCCTCCTCTACTGTGATTGGCTGGCCTCTCAACCGGCCTCTCAGCCAAGGGGAGGGCTGTTTCTTCAAGTGGGGAGGGGAAAGCAGGTGTGCTTGGCACATGGCAGTTTGGTGTGCATGTGCAGGCAATGGAGAGCGTGCGAGGCTGGAGTGAGGCTCGCATGAGCGAGTCCCTTCAAGCATGGGGGTTCTGCATGGGAAGTCTGGCCCAATTCAATCATTGGTGGGGTTCAGAATGCTCTTTGACCGCAGGTGAACTATAAATCCCAGCAACTACAACTCCCAAATGTCAAGGTTTATTTTCCCCAAACTCCACTAGTATTCACATTTGGGCATATTGAATATTCATGCCAAGTTTGGTCCAAATCCATCATTGTGTGAGTCCACAGTGCTCTCTGAATGTAGGTGAACTACAACTCCAATACTCAAGGTCAATGCCCACCAAACACTTCCAGTATTTTCTGTTGATCATGAGAATTCTGTGTGCCAAGTCAGGTTCAATTCCATCATTGGTGGAGTTCAGAATACTCTTTGATTGTAGGTTAACTACAAATTCCAGCAACTACAACTCCGAAATGACAAAATCAACCCCCCACCCCCACCCACCAGTATTCAAATTTGGGCGTATCAGGTATTTGTGCCAAATTTGGTCCATGAATGAAAATACATTCTGCATATCAGATATTTACATTCCAATTCATAGCAGTAGCAAAATTGCAGTTATGAAGTAGCAACAAAAATAATTTTATGGTTAGGGGTCATGACAGTATGAGGAACTGTATTAAGGGGTCATGGCATTAGGAAGGTTTAGAAAAACTGCCTTATATTCTAGAGGAAGTTCAGGATTGATTTGTTCTAGGACCCATTTATTTGTTATCTTAATGTTCAGTTGCAAAACTTCTTCTGCACTTTTTCCTTAACTTTCTTCAGTAGTCATTCTAAATAGTTTCTATTTTTGCATATCTGCATATCTTATTTTGTTGATGTTTCTTCCTCCAATTTTTACACCTTCTTCCATTGAGCCTCATCTTGTTTTAAAGATGATATCTTCAGTATGCAAGTGAGATGGAATGATGATTGTTGCATGACCTACTTGTCAATTGGAAGATATTCAATTTTTTCGTATTCTGTCCTGAAGGTAACCTCTTGTCCTGAGTACAGTTCACCTATAAAGACAATCAAATGTTGTGACACATCTATTTCTTTAACACTGTCCAAGGTTTTTCATGACCTACCTACACACAATCAAAGGCTTTGCTATAATCTATAAGGAATGAGCAGGTTATCTTTTGATTTTTTTGGTGCAATCCATTATTCATTGTATGTTTGCAGTGTGATCCCTAGTGCCTCTTCATTCCTGAATCCAGATTGAAGATGTGGCATTCCTTGCTCTAGATATATTGATTTTTTGTTGCTGAATTTTGAATATCACTTTCCTTGCATGGGAGATTAATACAATGGTCCTAGGGTTTCTGCGATCCCTGGTGTGCCATTTCTTCAGAGTTGGAATGTATATTGAGCATTTGCGATCTCTGGATATTTTTTGTTTTCTGTATTTGTCAACAGATTTTAATTAGAATTAGAGTAGATTTCAGTCTCTATAATTTAGCCCAGTTCTTCTCCATTGCCTCAGTATATCTCTGATTCTTATTTCAACCGTGGGAACATGATTCGCTCTGTAACATTACAGTTTAAATTCTCCCTATTGTAAAATGGCAAATGTGAATTCCAAAGACTATTGTGTATATTTTGAATATAGAAATAGAGCTGATAAACCAGCATTTCTTCCTCCACAATTCTGCTGCAAAATAAGCTTCTAACCACCTCTTTTGCACCATTGAATATCTAGTCTATTCTTTCCAACCAATAATATGGCTATTTCAATTGAGGTTTGGTTCTCTTTTCTTATTCTTCTCTTTTCCTGATGATGTGGAAGACTGCTAGAGGCAAAATGTGTGATGTTAAAGATGGAGAATGCTCACACTGTTTGCATGGCCTTAAGAACAGTGGGAGGGAATTTACCCATTGTGAAAGTTTGCTTCACACTGCATCAGTGCCACTTTTCAGCTGGGCCAGTAAAATGCTTTGGAGGTTTTGGCAGGGATGCAACATTTCTGCAGTTAGGAAGCATTTGTAATTACCCTGGATTGTCTTTGGATGATCAAATTCTAGCTCCCTGCAGAAACTATGAAGCTGTGTACACCTGTTTTCTGTTGGCACAGCTCATCATGGTCTTTTCTCCCAAAGACACAGCAATAGCAGGGAACAGAGTCAGACCAGACCACTCAAGAGAAGGGGACAATTTCTATGGGCATAACACAGTGCTGTAATTTGGTATAATTGACCCATGTTCCTCAGTTGGATGGGAACATTTTGAGCAAATTAGGCTCAGGCTGAGCATAAGGATCTTAAGTTCTTCCATTATTTCCATTCTATTTGACTTGGTTCTTTTACAAAGTTAGAGAAATTAGATATGTTGGACATGAGTTATCTAGAGTTGTGCTTCAGTTTTCTTACTGAAATCGAATGGAATTAAAATTAATTAAAGTGGCTGAATTAGGAGGACACTCATGAGAATAAACCCCAGCAGGTAAAATTAACTACACATAAAGAAGAGAAGGGTAGTAGGTAGTTGTAGTGACATTATTAGATTAGTATTTCACATGACAGAACCTGAACATTTATTTTATTTGAATGTCATTAAATATGGGGTGGCTGGGTGTACTGTGGTTTATATTTCTCCAGTAGTAAAAAATACTAGTGTATATTTAGTATTGTATTTTAAATTGAACTGCTGTTTAATTTTCTTGCTCTTATCAGTTCAAGAGTTTCTAGATGTTTGTCTGGCAGGACATTGTTCTGTACAATAAGACCCTGTATCCACAATGGATATGTTACCATATGGATACAGTTACCTGAAACCACCAATATGATAGATTAATATTAAATTACCTGACATGTGGTCCCAAAATACCATAGATTTGTCTTTGGGGTACCTAGAAATTTCTAGAGTGGTAGCCTCCCAAGGAATTTGCTAATCCTCCAGGGCAACTATAGGATAACATCTGGCAAAAGCATACTATAAAATCACTAGCAAATTCCTAAAGAGAGCAGGTAAGTGAAACTGTGGACATGGGTTCCATAATTAAGGTGGTCTTACTGTATTGTCCAATATTAGCACAATAATGTTTCCCCTTCTATACACAAGTATATATTGATGATATGGGATCTCTGCAACAACTGAAGCTAATAAGGACCTTGGGACCATTCTGGAAGACATTTTGTTAATGTTACAACCCCAGTTTTAATCACTCCTATTCAGCATTAATTTTCAAGGGTTCCCCAACATTTATTGACATTAGAAATGTATTGATTGACCTGGTGAAATAATTATACTTTTCTTTCACAGGCTTCACATATTTTTACAAAGGCAAAGAATACTGGAAATTCAACAACCAGATGCTCAGGGTGGAACCTGGATATCCCAGATCCATCCTCAAGGATTTTATGGGCTGTGATGGACCAGCAGACCGAGACAAAGATCGACATAGCCCACAAGATGATGTAGACATTGTCATCAAACTGGACAACACAGCTAGCACTGTGAAAGCCATAGCCATTGTCATTCCTTGCATTCTGGCCCTGTGCCTACTTGTTTTGGTTTACACTGTGTTCCAGTTCAAGAGGAAAGGAACACCTCGCCACATACTGTACTGCAAACGCTCTATGCAAGAGTGGGTGTGATGTAGGTTATTTTTCTCTCCCAGGAGTTTGTGGTAACTTGAGATTCAACAAAAGAGCTGTTATGCGGTTTCCTACCTAGGAGCAGGCATCTGTCCGCCTCAGCCAGGGCTGATTTTTAAAACCCAGGGGGCTGCTTGCCCTGCACAAGAGTGAGAGTTCACTCCAGTGGGAAGCTTCCATCGTACACAGTATCTACTGTTCCTCCAGTCCTTTGTCTTTCTTTGCCATTTGGTTCTAGCCTTTCCTCTGCACGCTCAATACCCAATGGAAAACTATCAGGATTTTCATAAGGAGGAAGTGTAACAATAAAAGCAAGAAGAATCTCCAGTGTTTCTGTTGGGGAATTCTATCTTCCCCCCTTAAGGCCTGCTCCCCTTTGAAAGAATTTTGTGTGAGATTTTTTTAAAGAAAAATGTAATCAATTTTTTTAAGAAAGAAAAGATTCCGCAACTATAAAACAACAATCACAATGGAACTTTCAGGAAGTATGAAGACCCAAAACAGCTTTGTCTCCAAAGAGGATTGCTTTCTGTCAGTTACGTTTATAGTCCTACACTCCTACATTTAATTTTTGTCAAGTGGGAGGCCAGGATGACACACAGGAACTCAGACTGTTTGGACAGCCATTTTCCAACAAACAAGGGGCCAAAATATCTGCAATATAGTAACAGCCTTAATGATACATTCATTTTGTGTTTTATACAGCCGTTCTGAGCTATGTCCTCAATGTTTTAACACATTTATATTCATTACTGTATTCAGATAGTACTTTTTTATTGATTGGTTTAGCTTTTTGTTGGTTTCATTTCCTCCATCCCCCCCCCCCCCCCCAAAACCCATCTTTAATTTTTCTTCCCTTTGAGCTGTACCAGATTAGGCCTTCCATTGGTCTATCAGGATCGCATATTTTAAAACCTTAATAGAAAGCAGCAAGTCCCTGAAGAACAATGCAGTGAATTAAAGTGACGATGTTGCAAAGAAATGTAATTCTAGTATGGTTTATGTTATTGGTGACCCTTTGAGAACTACAGGCTCATATTTTTATCCTAAAAATACTGAAATGCATCATTCATAGAGATTCCAGTTTCTGGGGTGCTTATCTCCTATGATTCCAAGTAAGGCCCTGTCTTTGTACTGGTGGTCCATTAACCATATCAGATCTGGAGAACCTCTCCTTCTTTTCTTTTCAATACCATTGCCTTCTGTGCCCTTCTTTGCTGCTTTCAGTGGCTGTATGCACTCTAGTTCTGTCTGCCTCACATCTATATGGCACTATATGGTGCCATAACTAAATGGCAGCTGGGACAAGTTTAACAACGTTCATTAAGATTGGCAGGCATACAGGGCAGCTGTAGCTCAAGTGGATACCTTTGTGAGTCTATTAGTCCACCATGCAGGTGAAGTAATAGAGAAGTATGGCTAAGTTTAATTTTTTTATTGCAATACCAATGAAAATATAACAAAGGCTAATAATGTTTTGCCAGTTGTTTTCTGGATTACAATTTTTAATAATAATGTATAGCTTTCAGAATTTTAATTTTATAGTGGACACTTGTCAGACTTGGGCAAAATACTCCAGTAGTCCTGTACTTTTTTCCTCCCATCACCATGATTGCATATGTTGGTATTCCCTCCAGGGGCCAATGAATAAACACCTCGTTTCCTTTGTGTTGTTGATAATGTACATGCTGAATATTTTTAGAACACTACCAATGCAAACAAAAAGTATTACTCAAGATAGGTGACAATTTGATGATGAAAAGTGATTTTCTATTTGGTACTGTGTTTATACAACTATGTACTGGGCACCCCTGAATTCCTGTGACCAGACCTGAATATATGGCTAATGTTAAAACAATTGTGCTTTTTCAGCATTGTGGCAGATTTCTGTATACATTTGTCACTGTTTTTTTCCCAGTGTTTTGTTGCACTGCAAAAACCTGTTCATTAGAAATAGTGGCAGAACAAATGGCATCACATATATTCTACTCCAGAAAACCAGGTTCCTGTCATACACCATTCAACTGTCATGAAAACTTTTGTTCTTCCCCAACTTGAATGAAATAAGAATCTAGTATTTGAACCTGGGGCCATGTTGAAGTATTTTGCCTAAAACCGTGGCTTAATTTTTTAAAAGAAAATCTGCTGTGTGTAGTTTATTGCATGGTTTTGCATTTGTCTCGAAACATGGACACATGCCGGTGCCAATCACAATTCAGTGAGAACCAGAAAGCAACAGCCTGATATGGGTGTTTTTTCTGCCCAACTCCCAGGTTTCACTGTTTGGGTGTTTGCCTTAGTTCTCAAAGGGTCAGAGAGACCTCTGGCATTTAGCTGTACATTAAATCACTGTTAGAATCACGGGACCACCAAAGCATTGTTTCATCATGTGCAATTTTGTGCTAACAGCAGTATTGTCATTTTCATGTGACCTGCAGAGCAGGTTGTGTATTAATTTTTTCTCCCGAGAGAAACGTCAGTAACTGACAGACCTCTTCTATTGATTTTAGAAGCTGCTTTTTGCAGTGACAGGCTTTTTTTAAACAGTCACTGGGCTGTGAATTTATTAAAGGTGTTCAAAAAGAATGCACTCCACTGGTCAAATACCTGGCTTTTTATGAAAGCTGGGATTCAGGGGAGTAGTTTTGAAACAATGAACAGCTTGCCTTGAACTTTATTGATCTGTTGATTGTCATTACTGAGTTAAACATAGTATTCTGTGAAAAAAACACCTCCCCAAATCTGTTACTGTCTGAATTTCCTTACTGTGTACTATTTGATGTCTTTGCTCTTTGACCTTTAACTTGCGAACTGGCACAAGCTCAATGGGAAATCTGGTATTGCTGATCCATTTGGATTGGACCAAGGCTTTTACAACAACAGCAGGCCTATTAACTTCACCTATTTTGTTAGAGAAGGAAGGACAGTGAGTTCAGTATACTAAGGACCTTCCCCTCCCAAACTTGATGAACATAAATAGGCAGCACACAGCATCCTTCTTGCTCAGCTCCTGTTTATCTCATGGGGGAGATATAGAAAAATTTCCCAGTGGAATGTGCCCAATCTTTGTAGTGGTTCCCAGGATGGAAAATTTGCTATGTATACATGCACACTCTAAAAATGAACTACAGTGGAATCAATTTTCTATTTAATGTTGGTTGAATTTTCTGTATAAAACCTGTCCTTACAACAAATGACTCATAAATAATGATGACATTCTAAAACACACAAAAATACTAAAGTACTTGAAAACAGCCATCATTGGCTTTTATGTCAAAGTTTTTTTTATACTAGATTGTGACAGTTTCATACTGATTTCCTAATCCACATAAATGAATCATTTTTAAGAGAGTGTAAGTATATATGCATATATTATTTTTTGGTAATGAATAGCTCAACTGCCTTGAATTTATATTTATATTGAGCATAGCATGACAATTAGTATGCCTTTTTTCAATGAAACAGGACTTGGGTTTTTTTTATTTTGAACGGAGTGTTTTATAATTATGTGAGGCATGCTATACAGCAGTGCAAAGTGAGGTTTTTGTTCAAAAAAATGGATGGATTGATAGATAACAAAGATGAGTAGAAATGGGTTGCTTTGTATTTCTACAAATGACACTTCAGCACTCCTTACAGGTACAAGTTGCATCACAGAGGGACTGTTGCATTATCTTGGTATATCTGTTTCATTTGGTGCAGGCATACAGTAGTTGAATACATCTGCAAGCATGGAAAAATGCTTAAACTCTTCCCCATATTACTTACAAATATTGTCTATGGTCACAATTTTGCTTGAAGCAGAAAACTAAAAGTGTGTTTTGCTACAATTGAGGACATGAAACTAAGAAAAACTTAATTCTCTTGCTTTGGTCATATTGTGTATTTCAGGGTGAATCCACTCCACAAAAGAAAAGAAAAAAGCACCTGTATAGAACAAAATAAAGGCCACTGCTTTATTGGTTAGTGTAAATAGGGTTGACCCAAACGCATAGGTCCCAGATACAGGCATCAACCAACCCAATACTCTGATTGATGAACCCAATACTCTGGCACATTGCTGGAACCCTTTAGATGACAGGAAAGGAATCATGTGGCCATAGATTCACAAGTGAAAACCCTTCACTGCCATCAGTGGAGTGCTGTAAAGTATCTGCCCCAGTAGCTGGGCCAGGCCGACCATCATGCATTCCCTTTTCTATTACCAGTGGCACTTCTAATCCATGTTTTGAATCAAAAGTCATGCTGACTGCTTCCACCCTGCTTGTAACAATTCAGAAACCATACATTGCAACATCTATTTGAAACTAGAACAATTGCAATACAGGATGCATGGTATGGCATTCAGAAGACAACTTCTGAGTGTTTATTTGAGAAAATGCCTATATATCACTACCCAATCTGAATGAAGCCTACACCAGGCCTTTCTGGTCAGCCCACCAATCAATGAGATGAAAGCTCTCTGGTTTAATCCCATTGGCTGACAATTTCCACTTTCCCGGGACCCTGCACAGATCCCTGAAGAGTGCACACTGCCCTACCAAGGAGAAGAAGTGGGATGTATTTTCTTTCCACTTTACTTTACTTAAACAATATCTCACAGTGAGTCATGTGGCTTGCTTTTACTGTTGCCAAAAGGCTAGCTCAAGACTTAAGGTCTTTCCAGATAGGCCCTATATCCAAGGATCTGATCCTAGGTTTTCTGTTTATCCCAGATTATCTGGCAATGCAGACTTATATAATCCAATTTAAACAGAAAATCTGGAATTAGATCCTGGGATATAACGCCTGTCTGAAGGGTCCTTAGCGACACTTTTAGAAAACAGTGATCAGTGGGTTTTACTTCATGTTTGACTAGGCCTGGATCCAACCGCTAAAATTATGTTATTTAGAAAATCCAAGGCACAATGAATTTTGAAATTTGCATGCAAATTTGACAATCCCAGATATATTTTGTGAATGGCCAAAACTCAGGTACACCAATGGATGTTGATGTCACTGACAGAATTCACTGATCTGAAATTAGGAAAACAGACCTATTTTGGATATTTTCAAAAGGAATGAATGTCAGTGTCAACATTCACTATGTATTTGATCTTCATTGTGACATGTATATTACTATGAGAATAAGGCAACTGTGTTTTTATTCCTTTATTCACTTGGAAAATGTCACTTTTTTTCAAAGTCTGTCTCTTGGTAACATAGAATATCAGTGCAAGCATTCTTGGAAGACAACTAAGAAGTTGAGTGTGTTGCTGGTTTTTCTTTTTATAAAGGAACACAAGCATTTATGTTTGAAGGATTTAACATATAATATGATGCAGGGAGATAAATATAACATATAGTGCTTCATGTAAGGTACATCATGGCTACTGTATATATTCATGTATAAATCTAGAAATTTAGTCAGATACTTGACCTAAAAGACGTGGGTCAACATTAATGGCTCAATGTAAGTATTTCAACTCTCACCAAGAAAGGAACCTTCCTGTTCTTTGATTAGAATGATGAAAGGCTTAGACTGTCCTGGAAGAACCAAAAAGAAGCAACAGCCTCCTCTACTTTCTTTTCCGAGGCACAGCTTCTGACTTCTTTCAATACCTGGATGGAAAAATTGCAGTACTGGCAGCCGAGGTGGCTAGCTGCTTGCTATGGCATTTGTGCTTTACCCATTAGTGTTGCCCTTGTGAGAGTGGTTTATACATGAGTATATAAAGTATATAAATGCTTAATTAATAGCTCTAAAGGTCCATTATATATTATATGGAGAGAGAAAGTAAATTGGGAATAAAGTGTGGGCATACTTTTGCCATGGGGTTTGAGGTTGTGTCAGCATTTTTATTATGGATTTCTATATTATGAAGCAATTCTTTCATAATTTCAACCATGATCTTTTACTCCATGTGTTCAGACTCACTTTAAAGTGTCCATGTACATGTGTGTGCATGTACATGTGTGTGCATTTTAGTAAGTTCAGAAATT